GCGGGGATGCAAAGCAAGAAACGGGGATGCGAGACGCGCGAAGAAATCGGAGCTTGGGCGTGCGCGCGCAAAAATTCAAAAAGTCCCAACCGCTTTCGTTTCTTGGTTTTCATACCACGGCCGCTATTCACCCGCGCATGAGTTATTAACCAAACAATATGAAAAAGCCGTTTCAAAAAGAAAAAAAAAACAAAAAGAAAAAAAAAAACCCTGTTTGTCCGCATCCGTGCCTCGGGGCTTCCGAGGGATTTTTCCTCAGGGATACGGGAAGCCGCGAGGTACGGGTCTGAGCTTATCACATCTGTGATACGCAGGGGGTTCCGAAAAATTAGCAGTCTCCTGACTGCTGAGGTCATCATGTCTTAGATGATCGGACGGCCTCTTCATCGTCAGCTGGCCCGATCATCTTCCTAATCTACGTGGATGCATCTTGCATCCTCCATCGCCTCCTCCCATAGTACACACCCGATCGGGCGGCCCCTTCATCGTCAGCTGGGGTAAAAAGTTTTTTTTTTTTTTTTTTAATATATACACAACGCGTATCATCGCGCGAGCTTTAGGTCCGAAAAAGAAGAAGAAAAAGAAAGAGGTGGTGGTGGTGGTGATGATCATAGGAAGTGATCGATCTCCGGATTGAGAGGGGGAGGAAGAGGAGGGAGAAACGCCGCGAGCGCGGCCAAGTTGGCTGGCACTTCCACTTCATTGAAGTGGTGCTGGACAAAGGAGGGGTAGAGGAAGGCCCCCGACACACGTGAGAGGACCCGTGGCGTGAGATCAGTGATCGCCCGAATGATTCGTCGTCGCAGCGGCCGATTTCTCGGACCCGTCAGCACCAGATGGGTCTCCGTGTATGGCCTCCGCTCCCGCTTAACCGCCGCGAAAACCAGGATATGGTACATAATGTTGGGCCGCCCGTCCTTTTCGTAGATGAGCGTGCCCACCAACCTCCCTGCTATACATCCGTCGAATGGAGGCTGCAAGAACGCCTCCCATGCCGGATTAGGACGCGGCACCCCCTCGATGGCCTCAAGCCGGATGGTGGCCAGTTCCACCATGTGATCCTCGTCGGTTTGATGGACCGTCTGGCTCGGGGGAACTGCTAATGTCAATGACTGGGGTATCCCAGGCGGGCTGGTGAAATCGGAACGGTCCTGCAAGGAGGGGGGGTCTGGATGCGGGATATGGAACTCGTCCCAATCCCGCCCGTGCGCCTGAAGGCCTGGCTGCATGGCTATTAAGATCGGGGAGGCATGGCCGCTGAGGTGTCGACTCCCGATGGCCTGTGGATCTCCGCGGTTCTTCGGCGGGGCAGTCCTCCCCCAGTCGGGGCTTGATGATGAGTGTGGCTCTTCTCTCGCGAACTGGATCGACTTCGCGCACCGTCGCAGGCTGGACGACCTCCTCGACAGGCCCCACTCGACTGGCCTGAGCTTCCGGCGATGGACTTCGTCACCGCTTCGGGACGGTTCTCTTTCTCGGTGCCTTCAGGACCGCCGGCTTTGGATACGATGATGGAGGCCGCAGCGGCTTATCTTCGTGCCCGAAGTCCACCACGGACTCCCCCTCACGCGCCAGGTAGTCAGGTATCACCGCCGCGTTATATGCTCTGCACAGGGCTGAGGCGGTCCGCAGTCTAAGTTGCAAGTCTTCTTCTTCTGCGGCGATTACCTGCGCGATGGACAGCAACTCAATGTGAATGAGTTGTAAGAGCCCTGAGCGATTCGGTCCGATCCTCCCAAAAGGGTAAAGCGCCACTGTTCCCTCCTTCCGCTCCGGCTTCGGCTTGGCGATCACGTAGTATACGTGGAGGAACTCGCCGACGTTATGAACTTCGTGCTCCACGAGAAAGGTAAACCTGCCCAGCACCACCGACGAATACAGCGCCCGATGCAGCTCCCACGCGTCCTCCTCAGCGGGCGGCAACTGCTCCAGGTCCGTCAACTCCACCAGGTACTCGGGGAAGTTGCGCATAAGATAGGGGAGCTGTGTCAGTTGGTAAGGGAGGGTAGTGTAAGAGAAGAAAGGAGGCATTTAGAGAGAAGGGGGAGGGACAGCTTGGATGTTGAGGGGCTTGGCGGGAGGAAGGAGCGCGGGAAGCTGCGGCACCAATGCAAGTGCTCCCTCCGGAGTCCGCCGCAGAAGTCCTTTGTATGCGGTGAAGCGATGAGTGCCCCTCGCCTGCACTCGGGCCACCGATCTCGCCACCTGGAGGGCGTAATCGCGCAAGAACCTGTACGCCGGATCCCGATCGTGCCCGGGCAAGACGGTTAAATCCCCGGTGAAAGTAGCGATGCTGTGCACAAAGTTCATAGCCACCTGGATGGCTCGGAACTCGATGAACACTCGCGTGGATTCCTGACCAGGCACGGGCGATATGTCCACATAGACACCCGCGTACGTTACCTGCTGCGTGAGGAGCGAGTACACCGCCAAGTCAGCAACGCTAGGAGCCGACACATTCACTTGCTGAATGTCGAAGCGCAGCTGCCGATCGTCGTTGAACCGGTTCCGGAGAAGAGCGTCCGAGATGGGCGGCTGGAAGTGCTTGAGCAGTTCATGCTCCTGTTGGCAATGGTTCATCCTGCGAGGCAAGGTCTTCCGCGGATGCCGATGACGCCGATCGGAGAAAAGGGGAAGAAGGAGGCGAGGACGAAGGAGCACGAGAGAGGGACGAAGAAGGTGATTCGGGCAGGACAGGTGACCGCACGAGATCTAGCGATGGCCGAAAAGGCCGGAGGGCAGCAGCGTGCCTCGTCAGCGGGCGGCCCTGCGAGTTGTGCCTGGGAACCAGCTTCACGGAGTGCTGGCCTCGTGTGCCAACTTCCGTCACCTCGTAAATGCCTGTGTAGCGTAGGTGGATTTTGGAGGAGCGCGCGGATTTCCGTACCTGCACCAAGTCCCCTATTTTATAGCGAGGCAGTGGTCCCGCGGACGCATGTCGATTTTCGTAGTCGCGGATCTGCCGTTGATGCGTCCGATCTACGGCCTGCTGTCGCCGGCGCGCTAACGGGGGATAGGCCCTAGCCATTAAGTCCATATAGTGGCGGGCCTTATCTGTGTGTTGGGCCCGTGTTGCTCTAACTTCCGTACCTACCAAGGGGGACAACTGCACCCGAGGGACACTATTGGTTCTCAGTTGAAAGGGGGACACCCCAGTACTATCGTGTGGGGTGGCCCGATAAACGGCCAAGATGTGGTCAACAATGACAGGCCAGGGCCGGGTGTCTCCCACAGTGATATTCCGTCTAAGGGCAGTCTTAATCAATCAGTTGGCATTCTCTACCAGGCCGTTGGCTTGAGGCCAATTCCCTGACGAGTAGATAATCTTAACGTCTGCCCTGACTAGGTGACGTTCTACTTCGCCTTGAAATTCCGACCCATTGTCCATGTGTACCTCTTCTACGTCTAGATGCATGCACAAAAATCGATTTACGTACCATGCTACCTCCTGCGAATTCCGGCTGGTCATAGGGTACGCCTCGATCCATTTTGAAAAATGATCGACGGCTACCAAAAGAACATTGATTTCTCCCTGATCGACGGGGCCTCTCGGAACATTGATATTCGTCGTATCGATGCTAACCCTCTGAAAGGGGCACTCTACACGAGTGGGCACCATTGTCCGAGGCATCTGTACCGGCACCTTGTCCGCCGCGCAGGCCGGACAATTCTGAACGATGTATTTCACATCTTCCCGAATTCCCGACCAGTACCATACGTTCTTCTCGATGGCTTTTTCCGTGTACTTGACCGCGAAATGAACCGCATCCTCTTCATGAGCGGCTCGTGTCCAATCGAACCTAGCGAGAGGGTGTGGAACCGTCAACCAGCTAGACCCTCCGTCATCATCGACCTTTCGTTTTTGTAACGTCGGTCCCTGCCAGCGATAGTCCTGCGCCCGCTCCGTGACTCTCCGCCGCTCGGCTTTGGCAAGTTCTGACAGCGAGTCGCCTGACAGCCTCCGTAGCAACAGAAGGTCCGTCCAGACTTCCGTCCGGTGGACACTTGGCGCGAATCCGTCGGCTGTTCGTGCATCCAGATACCGTTTCTCGGTAGGGACTTGGTCCGTTCTACAGTTGGGACAGACCCACGTCTTTTCACTTCGGTACCTAACGCATTGTCCGTGGGACTTGACCGCTTGACACCGACTACACTGCACCCACAAAAGAAAATTGGGCCCTCCCGGGTGTGACCCTTCTTGGTCCGGGACCATAGGCAAGGTACAGAAAAAACAGGGACTTAGCTGTGTTTCATGGGACGAGTAGGGACTAGACGAGAGAGCGAGGGAGTTGGATGAGGGCAAAGAGATAGTGTCTGCCATCTCCGGTGAAACCTCCATTCCGGACTCAGGCGTCGTTCTTGCGCAGCACGTATAGCTCCCCGTAGTGCGGTTTCGTCGCCGCGACTTCTGGCCTCCACGGAATGAGTCGCTCGTTGGATGGACACTTCTTGGGCGGCAGGAGGCGCGTGAATCCATCGACGTTACCATGCTGCCACGTGGCACGGTGGCGGATGTCGAAGTCATAGTCTTGCAGACGCACCGCCCACCTGCCCAGCGTCCCCGTGTAGTCCGTGTTGTTGCGTAAGGACAGCAGCGGCTGATGATCCGTTACCAGCACGAATTTCTGGCCGTAAAGATACAGTCGGAAATGTTGGATCCCCCACACCACCGCCAGGCATTCGCCTTTGCACGCTTCGTAATTAGCCTGCGCCTGGCTCAGCGTCTTGGACGCATACTCAATGACGTGTTCCCTTCCGTCCGCCCCGTGATGAGTCAGCACCACCGATATGGCCAGAGGCTGCCAGTCGGTGTACAGTGCGAACGGTCTTGTCGGGTCGGGACGCGCCAACACAGGAGCAGATGTCAGAGCCTCCTTCAACGCCTGAAACGCCGCTTCGCATTCCGACGTCCAGATCAACTGTTCCTCTTTCTTCAGCAGGTTCGTGAGGGGTTTCGCTATACTGGCGAACCCCTTGATGAAGCGCCGGTAATAGGATGCCAGCCCTAGAGAAGCCCGAACCTTGGTGAGTGTGACCGGCGCCGGGGCTTCTTGAACTGCTGCCACGTTCCTTGGATCCGGTTTTAGTCCATCGCCCGTGACGATGTACCCCAAGAATGAGATCTCCGACAAGAAGAACTCGCTTTTCTCCAAGGCCATTTTGAACCCCGCATCCTTTAGTGCATGCAAAACCCACTCAATGTGTTCCACGTGGTACTCGTGTGTTTTTGAAAAGACCAAAATATCATCCATGTACACAATCACGCAGAAATTGATCAGGGGCTGGGTTAGTCGGGTTTTGTTAACAAACTCAGCGAAGGCCATATTCATGGCCCGCTGAAACGTTGCAGGGGCGTTACAAATTCCCATGGGACACCGGACCCATTGCCACGTGCCCTCAAATAGGACAAAAGCGGTTTTGGGTCGGTCCTCCGGTCAGACTGCGACATGGTGAAAACCGTGTCGGATATCGAACTTGGAAAAGACTCGCGCGGCCCCTATAGCATCTAACAAATCGTCGATTCGCGGCAAGGGATACACATCTTTGGTAGTGATAGCGTTCAATTTTCGATAATCGATACATACCCGGACCGAACCATTTCGTTTTGGCACGAGGACCACGGGAAAAGACCACTGTCCCATCGATGGTTCGACCCACCCCAACCGCTCGAATTCCCGTACCCTTTCCAATGCCAGCTGTCTTTCTTTAAGGGAATATCGGTACGGTCAGCAATATATCGGGGCGTGATCCTTGGTATCAATCGCGTGCTGTATCAAAGGGGTTAGCCCTATATCGTGGTCCTGAATACTGACGGCCTCACGATAGGCCCGTATAACTGCCAGGAGGAGGCGTCTGTATTCATCCGGAACACGGGCTGGTAACTGAACTTCTACGGTTCCCCCAGGAAGGGAGACCGTCGTCGTAACCGTGGGGACCGCCGCGCTGGCATCGGGCGAGGCCCCAAACAAAGAGTTGTCAGTTTTCGCTGAAAGGACAGTCGCAATAAGTTGACTATCCACCGAACTCACCGGCTCGCTTTCCATGTCACTGTCACTGTCCAGTTCGGGTTTGGCCGAGGGTTCTACCGAAAAAGCCTGCGCCAGTTCCCTCGGTCCCCACCGATATTCCCTTGTTCGGGGTTGAAACGACACCCCCTCTTTCAGGAGTATCGCGGCTTTTTCATTCGTGAGTAGGGGCCGTGGAGGTCGAAAAGATAAATCACACAGCCCCCTAAGCTCGGTAAATCTTTCAGGTAGGGGGTCCGTCCTGAGATACAAGGACGCAGAGGGTTCCGAAAGGTCAGCTATTCGGGACACCCTCAATAGGGGTTCCCCCTGCAACACGGAGGAGAACGAGTGCGACCAATTGGACTCGCTCCGAACTATTTCCAGTGGTTCTCGCCGCCAAGAATGGCGCCACCGATCCTGAACTCGGATTGGATATCGGTCGGGTACATCAGTCTCGTTAGTTTCCGTCGAGGGTTCATTTTCGTCTGGTCACAGGCGTCGGATCATGTTGATTTGATGGGCTTTCGTGGTGAGTCGAGGCGTCGTCTGGGTGCGCATGCGCACCGCCAGTCTCATTGGTATCGTTTGGGGTTTGGGGTGGGCCGATGTGAGCACCACCTTACAGTTGTCAAAGTGCATTCGCGCTCCGACCGCCGCCTGCCACGGAATGCCTAGCAGAACATCGTACGCCTGTACATCCAGCACGATTACGTCGCACAAACAATGCACCCGCCTCACCCGTATAGGCACGTTCGTTATTCGCCCTTTATAATGAATACTATCTTCCGTAGCGGATATATACAGTTCATCTGGTCGGAGGGGCTGAACATGACCTTCCCTTCCCAACTGTTTCGTCAATCTCCAAAAAATGGCGACCGATGACGATCCCAAGTCTAGGATGGCGGCCGAGGGATTTCCCCAGACCTCGCAGTCACACTCAACGCTTTTCCAGGTTATAGGATAGGCTCGGAGGAATACCTCGGGTTTTTTCGAGGCCGAGTCTACGGTCTGGATCATTCCTATCCGGTCGGCTTCATGCACCTTTGAGGTCGAGGGCTGCGACTCCTCGTTTGTGGGCAGGTCCCGTAGGACCAGCTTTTAGCCCTTTCGACTTTCCTCGAATCGGCGCCTGTTTTTCAGGCATCGTTCGATTAACTTTTCGTTAGCCGCTTCGGAAATGGTTAGTAGATAGGGAATAGGGACGGGGATCCGAAGATCAAGAGCCTTCAAGGCATCCAATACGTCGATATGGCCATCCTTGTATTCAGGACCAGGTGCCGCAAGGTCTTCGAACCCTGGTCGCCACGGCCCAAGGTCGCTTTCCTCGGTAATCCGTTGGACGTGACGTATCACTCCGATGGTCCCGGGTTCGAACATCACCACAGCCATATATTCATCGGGCCCTATCTCGGTGGCCATAGGGGCCCCCGGCGGCGATAGCCGCTTGTTGCCGTTGTGCGGCGGCTAGGCGTTGCCGCTGCAGACCCTGAACAAACTCCGTTAACGGGGCCACTACCGTAACTAATTGGGTCGCGACCTCTTTCATGGACACTTCTTCCTCACCCCGGCCTCCTTATGCTTGACTAGAGCGACGGGAGGTCGAAGCAGAGGAAAAAGCTTTCCGATCCAAGCCTTTTTTTGTCGGACCCAACTCGAAGCGATCTTCGAACATTCGTGCCGTAGCGGAGTAGCTATTGCGTTGAACCCCAGAAGGGTCATCCTCGTCGGATTCTGAGTCCAGGCCCACATCGTAATTTTCTTTCCCGTACTTAATTGCGTACTGAATTAGCTCCGTCAGGGTATGTTCTATAGGGTTGCATTTCTTGCGGATCTTTTTCCGCAGACGAGAATCTGACAATCCTCTGACGAAATCAGTCCGTACCATTTTCTCATCCACCCCGGAGCGTTCGGCTAGGTACGTAAAGCGTTCAGCATATCTACCCAAGGTCTCCCGAGGCTTCTGCGTGTATTCCTTTATTAGACGGAGGCATTGACCTGGTGCGATGTGATCAAATCTGTCGAGAAACTTCCTCTGGAAGGCTAGCCAATTAGTGAAGGGGTTATGTCCATACCACTCAAAAGCGGTTCCGGCTAACCTTCCGGGGATTCGTTCTCGGAGCAACTGGTCCGACCAGCCCTGGGCTTTCAAGGCAGCTAACCAGGTTGAGGGTCGGTATCATCTTCAGAGAAAATGGGAACTTCGGAAGGAGGAGGTACAAAGTACAGGGGATGATTGGCCATCCCCGCATGGTTATCACCGTCGTTTTCACCCCCAATTCCGGGTTCCACCATCGCGGGAGGCGGGTTTCGAGCCCGGCCTCTCGCTCGCTTCTGATTGCTATTCGCGGGCCGCCAGCGGCGGGGAGCCAGCCTACTCAAAAATGAGAAAAATCTAARAAGAAAGATCAGAAAAAAGGAAAACTCTTAAGCCGGGTATTCGTCCTAGGAAAACCTTGGAGCCGAAACGAATCAGCTCTGATACCAACCTCACGCCCCCTCGCGACTTTCCGTCCTGGGTCGCCGATCAGAGTTCTAGGAGGGGCATGGCCGAGGATTTTTGGCCGTAGGGGTTGAGTCTCCCGGACGGAACAGGAGGCTCTCATTTCGTGCCAGAGGTTACCCCGGAGTCAAACTGTCGTCGCGAAGTCCCGTGGGGGTCGGATCGCTCCGAAACGATAAAATCAGAAGGGTTTCCGCGAAAACGAACTGCCGTCGTGCATCAGGACGGGAAAAGGCATCGAGGGGAGAGGGCCATGGCGGCGGAAGACAAAACGTCGGCCGTCAGGGGTTTGGGGGATAGGTGGTGGGTTCGAAGCCTTCAGGCCTCGTCATCGGCCTCACGAAGTGACCGAACCATCGGGTTTTTGCTGTAGAGATGGTTGGTTTGAGGCCTTCAAGCCTCAGCGTCGGACTCACAAAGTCCGCGCGGAAGGTTCCGGGAGGGTAAAGCGGCGGGAGGACTCGCCGGCATCCGAATTCGAAATTGCGCGGGCAGCGCCCCCGCACTACGGGAAAGCTCGGGGAAACGTATCGCTCCCTCGTAACCCAGGACCAGTCGTCGCCAAGAACACGAGTCCCCGTGGCGGCACCAGCGACAATCAAACTGCGGCCGCCACACGGCGTGAGCGGCCGACCAGGGCAATACAGTCAAACCCGTATAAGGCAATATTAGAGTCGGGGAATCAAAACGATCGATCAAGACAAACCCGTTCCCCCTTATATCACAAGCCCGAGGCGGTTCTCGCCAACACACTTGCTCCGTTCGCCTCAACGCGCGCCGTACGTCCGCATCGCAGTAGACGTTGTCGTCATCTGTGATGGGGAAGGTCGGTAGCGAGATGAGACGATCGGAAGTAGGCGATGAACACGGGCAAGAGCCCGCGCTCCCGGTCATCCGAACCACCATCGACTTTATACAACACTCGATGATACCTTCTCTCTCGGGGTTAGCGCGCCGGAGGAAGATGGCGAAATCGGAGCTCTCTTCCCCTTGCGGGGGCGTCGACCGCGCGCGCGGACGCGGGCGGTTGGCGTCACCGGTACGGGGACGAGAAGCTCAAAAAGGAAGGCGGGAGAGAGAGGGAGAGAGCTTACACTGAGAACGTGCGCGCGTGCGCGAAGGGCCGCGGAAGGGAGGGGAACAACGGGATTAACACACTCGTCCTCCTAGGCAAACGGTCCCCCAGTTCAGTTTCCTCGTCCCCACCCGGACAAGTACATACACGCATGCATGCAAACAACCAACAACCCTTGACAGGACATCTAATCATCCATAGACCTTCGACATCACTCATGCGCACAACCAGCTCCCATCACTCGGGGCTTCACACACACGACATGCATAGACAAAGCAGCAATGGAGATAAAAGCGAGTCCTTCAAGTTCTTGTACACAAAAATTTCAATTAGCTGTCGCCCCCAGGTGCAGCCTTCGAACCTCCCAAGACCACCGACCACCATAGCCACAAGGCCCTGCCGCGGCCGGCGTCAAATCCCCACCACTGCTCAGTCCCTCCGACTGCGTCGCCCCGAGACTACCGCGGGTCCACCCCACGTCGTCACTCCGCCCGTCCTTGGGCTCGTCGAGCCTGTTCGGCGCTGCGGACTTTCGCGCATAGCTCGCGCAGCATTGAAACCGAGATCAAAGAGGAAGAGAGGAGAGGGTTGCGCGAATTTATAGCGCGGGAGGTGGCGGGTTGTCAGCGCAAGGTGCGGGAAGCGCAGGTTGTAGATGAGCAAGACAGGAGGGAGGTGGGGAGTCAGAGGGTTCGACCCGCGGGATGGCATAGTCCTGCGTGATTGGGGTGTCCGTTCAAGTGGT